AACGGTTGCCACCGCTGCATCAAGCTCCTCCTGCAGTTCGGGGTTGGCTGCGTACTTCAGGACGTAACGTGGGATGCCGCCCCACCGAGCATACAGCTCTGACAGTTTAGCTTTGCTGACCGAAGAGAACATGATGCCACGTGCTGCCTCCAGCTCCACATAGGACCAGGGGCCCATCCATAACCTCAGGCCAGCTTGCTTGGCATATTCCTACAGGACACATCATTAGCATGCAGGCAACCCTAAGGCACTGATTGGGGCAGTAACCCATGGGTTACCCATTTTCAACCCCCGGTAGCCCTTTGGTAACCCCCTTGTAAGTTCCTACCCAGCAGGAGGGGTAACATGACCCCAGGGTAAACCCCTCCGTTGCCCTGGATTGTGGACATATGTATGGGCCTATAGGCTACTCGTCTTATATGCATCCCACACCGTAAATTCCGCTGAAGGATACTTTTTAAAATGTAAACGTTAGCAACCTACAGTATTGTGGTATCTTGGGAAGCATTGTTTGCCAGTTCAACCTTAAGGTCTCTAATGCTGGCATCACACACGCAAGGAATAAGCAATAAATACCTATCTCATGGCCTATTTGGCTGCTGTAAAACAGGAGCTTGTAGATGAGTACAGGAGAAGGCGTGAATGCTGGCAGCATATACACAAGTCGACGACAGGTCTTCACTAAATGGATGCCTTTGGTTGTCATCGATTGTTATATAATAGTTTGCATTGTGAAAACATCAGGCAATCAGTCCTGAGGTCGGCCAACATATTACCGGGCCGGGGATGGTCGTACACATATGTGCATGCTGCTTTTGCCTCCACTGATACTCCTAACGAGCACATCCAAGCTTAATCACAGCTAATTTGCTTGTAAGCTCATGTAATGCACACTCATGGCTGGTATTTTAACTAGACGGACATGCTAAAAAACGCGATGACCACTATCACCAATTCAGTCAATCGTATTCACTGCCAGCAGTGTTCCTATTGACCATACATACTTTGCACACTTATAATCCACGTTGCAATACTGGTGCATATGGCGGCAAAAATGGTGGTGTTCTATCGTTCACGCGTGCGGACCACCACGACAAGACCATTGACTCTTTCTGCAGCACAGGCCCACACTTGTGGTGCACCTCATTTAACAAGACATCCAGAGACATCCGAGGATTTTTACCCGGAAGGGCGCCTTACACTTCGCCGGGTGTCACCGTGTTCGGGGTCAAACATCCGGATCTCCCACCCAAGACCCTCGACACTCTTAGGAGAATCTGCTCTGAAAACGAGCAGACTCTGGATAGTGTTGCATAGGTCGTGTGTAGAGCTGGAATTAGCAGGTCGAGACGGAGCACTTAAGCTACTGGCCGACCTTACATTGCAGCCCGTTGGCTGCTCTGCAAGTTTTAGGTCTTGGGTCCGGAGCAGCAATAAGTGCCTGGATTTTTTGATAGGGATATTTTTAACTTTGCTGGCGGCTTCTCGTGGTCCCCAATTTGCTCTGCCTATGTACGCCTGTTCATCCGCCTCCTTGCATCTAGGCTGCAGCTGTGTGCCATATCCTTAGGTTTAGGTTTCTAAACAAGGCATGTTTTGGTGCGGCAATCTTGATAGTTGGGCATTCACAAGTGATTGGTGAAGACATGTTTGCGTGTGTAGACAGGCGCAGGTGAATGTAAACATGGGTTACCCTGTCTGTTACCCATCAGTAGTGTATTACCCCGACCCCTTTGTTACCCCTCGGTAAGGGGTTACCCCTACCCCGGGGTTAGGTTACCCATCTCCCTTCGTACATAGCCACATGGGTAACCCCTAGCCCTACGCCCTGGGTTACACTTAAGGGGGGATTACCCCCCGTTTTATGCCATAGGGCAATAAGAACATGCTAAAAATATGACACAGTGCTCATGCTACCATAGCCAATGGACCCCTGATATGATGCTGCAAGTCCAAGATGACATGGGGCTAAAAAGTGCTAGGAAAGAAAAATCATTCCAAATGTTCAACAAGCCGGGATGTAAGGGGGGTTGGCTCAGCAGCCCCAGGGCAGACCGAACCACATGAGGAATACACGACTTGACACCACAAACCACATTTAAATATCAACCATGCTAAATGTTTATATACTACTAAACATAACGAATCCACAAGTACATGGTTGCTGTACATGCCCAGCTCGATTTGCCCCAAACTTTCTTACCACACCTCCAGATGTGCAGGTTATGGCAATATTGGACAAAAGTTGATGTCTGGTACAGTGGACCTTGGAACAACCCATCACGTGCCAAGCTACCGCAAACCCTACACTATGTAAATGTACTCACGTTGTAGTTTGAGTTGCGAGGAGATGATGCCATGACTGTGATTGCCACCTTGGACGGAGGCTCCACCGCATCACACAAGAACCTGGTCAGCAAACACCAAAATGAGTAGGTCACACCATGATTGCCATGATTGACAGAAAATAGATTGGCATGCAATACTTTGCACAACGTACCATGTACTCGGATCCCTTAGCTCTTCTCGAAAAGCTGCAGTGGAGGTTGCCTCAAACACACCGTTGGGTGTAAACAGCAGCACAGAGTCCAGCACAGACTTGCTACACCACACGACGGTTTTGCCCTGGCATGCCAGCCGATAAAGCAAGTAGTCCAGGAAAGTGCTCTTGCCAATACCTGCATCGAACAACGAATGTTACTCTTCTTGAAGCCTCAGTGTTGCATTAAAATACCCCAGGCAAGGAGCTTGGCAATTCCAAAGCCAATGCATATTCCCAGCTTCACCATCGCCCATTTCCCAGAACAGTTTAGCTCCCGCACTCAAACCCATCAGCTTGCCTGGTGTGCCGCGAATGAGGACTTGGCGGGAGGGGGGATCAGACTTGCCCACAGATGCAAAGATCTTCTTACACAGGGTGTGGTAGCATGGGTGAACAAGCAAAGTCGTGGAATGGCCAGGATCTGGGAATGCAGTACCGTCTGCAAGCTGCAGGACCTCGAAATTTTGACTAGACTGGGCAACCACCGCCTTCGGTAGCTTCTTCCAAAACTCCTCAAAGGATGCTCCCGCGCGACCTGCAGGACACAAAGCGGAGGTTCTGACCAGCTATAGCCGAATGTTTGGATGTACTACTTATGAGGCAACCACACCCGATTGGCAACCTCCTCCGTTCCAAAGCGGGGATCCTCAGA